TTAAGAAGGAAATTTGTATTTTCTTTAATATCATCCTTGACATCGTCGTCGTCTTATTGTAACTAGACAACAGTAGTAAGCCGTAAGAAATTGACCAATCATAGTCGAATAAGGAGAATACTTATAGTGACATATTCATACACTGAGAAAAACTGATTAAATGAGAAAGTCTGATTAAATATAATCGGATAATCCAATTACGTGGGTAGGCTGAAAAGTAATATACACATGCTTGTAGAACACGAACAAAAACAAATAGCGAGATCGGGCAAAAAGTACATTAAAGTACAATTCTTAAGCTTTAAAATCATATATTTATTTTTCAACATAGTCACCGTTAAGGCTAACACATTTCTCCTAACGTGTAACAAGTTTTTTCATTCCGTCACTGAAAAATTCTTTCAACTTTTCTCGAATCCAGGACTTGACAGCTGCCTTCACCTCATCGTCCGAGGTGTAATGATTACCCTTGAGGTCTCTCTTGAGTAGAGGAAAAAATAAAAATCACAAGGTCGCAAGATCGGGGAAGTAAGGAGGGTGTGGAATCTGTTCAAACTTCAGGTTTCGCAGAGCCTCTGCAGTTGCATCCAGGCTGCCTCTAACACGACAAACTCGACGTCGGAGGTGTTTTAGAGTCTGTATGTACTGAGAAGAATTTACCGTCTTGCAACATGACAACGCTCGTCCACACACCTCACGCGCAACTGCCACCCTGTCACGGCTCTGAGTCCTTTAAATTCTTTGAAATTCGTGTTTAACACATATGAGCCATACTAATTTATTACATAACATTATTAAACGTATTTCTATAAATTATATTTTATTTAAGACACATGATAATTTAAGCTATTTTACCTACAAGCATGGACGTCCAGAGGAGGGTAGGGGGGCAGCTGCCCCCCCTAGACTTAATGGGATCCCCGATATATTGCTAAGGTTTATGCCTATAATGTAATAATTATGACTTCATTATGTATTGATCAAATATCGATATTTTTACAGTAAAAAATGACTAAATAGCAGGAGTAAAATAAAATATTAATTGTATTTTTTACGTTATGTCATCGTGTGAATAATGTATTAATTGTACTTGTCAAAACCAGTTTCATTCGAAAACAACGCGAGCGAACGGATTGAAGGTGCCACGAGCTAGCTGCCTGTCCCCCCCCCGCCCCCCCCCCCCCCGCAACACTGTCCGGCGGCGGCGCGCGGCGAAACGAGTTACTGTTTCTTGCATTCGTTTATTCGTTGTTGTTGGTTGCGTTGCGCTGTGCATTACGAAGAAATTATAGAGAAACTGAGAAAGAGACAAGTTCAGAGTCACGTTTGACTTTGTTTACTGTTGGTGTTAAGTTGAAAAGTGTACATTAGCATTTTTAATCTCGTAAAAACATTTCACTGTTTGAATTTGGCAGAAATCTGTTCATTTGCGGATTTATTTTATGAACCGAATAACATTTCATGATTCAGATTGAGACTAACTTTAAAAAAAGTGGACATACGAAAATTTTTTTGTAAGTATTGTTATATTGTTATCTTTATTTCTGAAAACAACGAATGATTTCATGTTTATATACAACGTGTGAAAGAAATAAAATCCGCATAGTAATTTCAATTCTTAAGTAACTCACACACGCACACGCATACGCGTCAAGACTTGGTTGCGGTCGACAATGATTGAAGACCGTTTAAAAGGCTCGTGCACGCTCAGCGTCCACCGGAAATTGGGTGAAAGCATGGGCGATTCCTTTACGAATGATATAATTAATAGATTTGCCGAGGACCTCAGAAAATTAATTTTGTATAAATAAAAATATCTTTAAACAAATATAATAAGAAGGCTCTCGTGAATAAATGAAAAATTAAAATAGGCAATGTGAGCCAAACGCAGGTTGTTGTGCGTAAATATCTTTTTTCATAAGTACGTAGTTTAATTTATGCTGCATAGTTCGCCTACGGGTGATCCTGTTCTGCCCCCCCTCCCCCTAGACAAAAGTCTGGATACGCCCATGCCTACAAGTTCGAAGTCGTTCTTGGTTGCGAATTTTACCGACACATTCGAATATAGGTTTTACGCTTGTAAATCTTTTTATTGGCTTTTACGCACAAAATAATACCAGAATAAGTTGCGCACCGCGTAGCAGAACATTTTTATACTTAAAACACCCAGTTCGGAAGTCTGAAAATAAAGAAATTGGTATTTGAAATTTAAAATTTTTTATTCGTGATAAAGTTTTGTACATACGTATATTTAATTAGAATCTTGTACTATTTCTTAATTTAGCCGCACGTGTAAGATAGCCGCACAAGTAAAACACATTGCTATATATCACCTAAAGAATTTCCTGCACTCGCAATGTTATGATTCATTGCTTACATAAACAAGATGCCATAACTTCTTTAAATAGCATAGCAGTAAATACTATGTAGATCAATCATCAAGATCTGTCATGCGTTAATCTCTAATCATTTTTATTAATCCTTTGGGTAGTATAATAAAATTTATTATATAACGTAATTTACTTATTTTACTTACATTTTGCGTGCTTCTAGGTTTATTTTTTCACTTTTCAACGTCCAAGTACATATTCTTAATTCTTTTCAAATAAGTATAGCAAGTGTCATAGAAAGTATAAGTAATAGCTTGGAGAAAGTATAAGTAGGGAGAGAATAAAACAGGTCTGCAGATAGCGCAACATTATCAATTGTATTATATCGATTCTGCACATTGTTAATTAAGTGTTAAAGAATAATTTTTTATATAACGTGAATATATGGTTTGCTCCAGCATTCGACTGATTTTTCTCGTATTATTTTAAAAAGTATTATTATTGTATATATAAATATTTGTAATCATTTATGCTGTGAATATCTTTATTTACTGTATTTACTTTATTTATTGTATTCATTACATACTAACCTAACCAGAATTGGCAGAAATTTATTGCGAAAAAAATTAGTTTCGAAAAACATTGACGAAAGCGCGATATTAGATTGTTTATTGTGATAAAAATCACCACACGCCTCAGTGGTCGAATTGGTGAAACGCCCGTCTCGAGTGAGGGAGGTCCATGTTCACACTCTGGCTGAGGCAATAGTTTTCGCAACAAATTTCTGGCCAGTTCTGGTCAATTTAGCAAAAGTCTTTTTAATGTATTTGTACATTTCGATATACATTTTAAATTACATTGCGTGAAAGTTTGTTCCTTTTAAAACGTTTAATTCCCTCGGAATTCCCTCGATGTAGGAGTATTCATAAAAAAATGCACCCATAAAGAATGGTAGTACAATCTGCATTACAACCTGAAATTCATTGAAACGGCGGAAACAACTTGGATTCTCGTTTAAAAGTATAAATCCAAAGAATCAAATTTTTTAATCCAAGTTTTGCATAAAATTTTTACCGCAATGAACAAAGCGACCTTATAATCGCCATTTATCCCGTGATTTCGCTTCAAGGTAGCCGAATCACCGGAAAGTCCCGAGGTAGTTCAATGCTTCTTTTATCTTCGCCGCGATGTAGCGATATCACGAATCTCGGATAGAATCCAAATCACTCGTTTCTGTGTACACTATATACGAATGAATAAATATACGATACAGCGGCACCGATCGTGGTATAAATTCGCCTGCGAACGGTTCCGCCGCGGGTCATGGGAATTGTCGCGAGATATGCAAATTTGCTACGTGAATGAAAATAAAATCGCGACGCAACAGGACGGACACGGAGCGGATCCGCTCGGTTCCATCGCTGCGGCATTTGTCTGGCGGGGAAGTAGAATGCGAGACCTTGGAAATCTACTACCGCCCTCGAGCCTTCCGTCCATCGGCACTGGACGAAGGTGAAACCCAAGAAAGGCTTGGGAATGACCGTGCGGCTAGCCGTGCAACAGGGATAAAACCGTCGTACATAACGTATTTACATTCAGTCTGTTCTGACAGTCCCTACGACATGGAACGATAAGACACGAGATTTTTTCAAGTGACTTTTCAAGTTGTGATTGCTAGTTTAGTGGGCACGCTCTATTTCTCGGGCGCAGTGCGATATCCGCTCGAAACCGCTCATACCGTGGCATTTCCCGTACAATCCAGACAACAAATTTATTTTAAAGTACTCATTAGGTATGTGTGGACAAAACACATATTGTATATTGCAATATATACAACATATGTGCCTAATATTGTTTATATAATCTCTTTGAAATCAGATGACTTCGTCTTACAAAGATGACTCGCTCTTTCCCATATCGTCCTCTTTCTTTATTTTCGATTCTGTTATGTTCCACTTGAATTTTGTAATAAAATTACATATGATAATTAATCTCACAAATAAAGCGGGAAATAGTACATTATCTCCGCATACTTATGTTTTGTGTGAGTCCGACCGTCCTGTCAATTACAAAAGAAAATCTTTTCTCGATGTAAAGAACTGAATACTCAATAAAAGCAAAAAGGAGAGCCTATAAGAAAAAGGTTACTGTTATTATTGTTATAAGGGCATTAACAGAATCGAACTATAATAAAGTACGCTTGCTTGTATTTATTCCACTTTTGTGGCGGTTATAAAAAATAACGTAATATTATACACGGAGAGAATTTTTTCTTAAAATTTATCCGGAAAATTTGAATATTTAACCATACATTCTAATAGTAAAAAATATACTAATACAATTACTAGTGAAATGTAGGCAAAATGTCAAAAAACTCTTATACAATTCTTCAAAATGCTATATTGTCTCAGGATTATATGATTTTAGGCTAAATTTTAAGAGAAAATTCTCTCCGTGTAGAATAACAGACAGAGAGATTACGTTAAATTAAAATTATAAATACAATTTCGAAGAGGTGGATCGCCAGTGAATAAAAAACAAAATTCGAGAATTATATCGACGATAACTGGCACAATATATTTTGATTAGTACATGACGTTTCGGCCAGTAATACTGGTCCTTACATTTATAAAATTATCAATACCAAAGCCTCAAAGAAACAAACTACCACAGGTTCTCATAGATTTTTCCTCTCTTTTGACAAATATTTTGCTTATCAAATTAATAAAATTCGTGCAGCTCAAATGTGACAAACACAAATTTGAAGGAATAAAGGACTAAGCGCCGTGACAAGGTTTTAGTGTCTAAATATTTCATATTTTAAATTTATTGCGATAAATATTAAATATTTTCCTTATGTTCTCCAGTTTTTTTCAAAGATGACTACAAAATCGATACCCGAATGGTTTGCCAACAAAAACGTTTTCGTCACCGGAAGTACTGGCTTCATGGGAAAGGTTCTAGTCTCCAAGTTACTACTAAGTTGTCCTGATATTGGAGATATCTTTTTACTAATCAGAAAGAAGAAGGACCATGATCCACATACAAGGCTGCAACTCATACTGCAGGTATGTAACAAGTTTACTTTTACTTCTTCCAATAAAAACATTTACAAGGGGAA